ACAAGTACCATCCACGTGTCTACGTTTAACATGTGTCCTTTTTCCAACCGCTACCATCTCTGTTTTTCCCGATCGCTGCAATCTATGTTAAACATATGTCTTTTTCCCCGGCCGCTGCTATCTATGTTAAACATATGTCCTTTCCCACGTATGCAACTGTTACCTATGTTTGACAACCATATGCCCAATTTTCTCCAACTAGCTACGTTTTGCCCACATTGAGCCCGAAGTCTATTCAATACTTCATATAAAACAGATACTACAGAAGAGATAAGTGCTAAGACTAAACAGGAGCAAGGTTGGACAGTGAATGGAGCCATCAACACCAGCTGCAACGTGATGTTTTTGTAACAATTGCACACATGTACGTAATTTACACTCACATACACACACATAGTCAAACAAGTTCAGTGTGTCTTCAACAGCCCCCACCCTTTAGGTTGGACACACCAATGTAGTAGATTTCCCAATATATAAGGGGATGAAGGGGGAGATCGAGAGGGGTGACGTGCCGAGAACTGAAACCGAACGCTTCTCCTCGTTCCCTCCTGGTACCAGAATTGAGTCTCCTATCTCCTCCCTGTGTTTTATTCCTGAGTGTCAAATTGGATAAACCCAGTGGCGGACCCTGAGGGCCAGCAAGGCCTTCTCTGCTGGCCCAAACATTCTCAGAAAAGTAAATTTACCTTTATGTATTTTACGTTATTTCATAATTTGTTATTTTATTTTCATAAATATGTAAACAAAATTATTCTCTGTATTCTTTACGTTATATTATTTCCACTTAGTTGAGTGGCTTTCAATGTTATTTTAAATAACATTGAAAGCCACTCGATAAATAACTTATTTATTATGGTAGAGTTTTTAACCAATCATATTTCAGCTAGCTTGTGTTGTCAGGTAAATTAAACTTGCTCGGGGCCTTCAGATTAAACAGAGCAGGCCCCGTGCACTGTAAATGAACGGGCACAGTCAGGTTTCAATAGCCAATCAGATCACGAGTCTGACACTCGTGATCTGTATCCTGTATCCTGACTTGTTCTCGTACGCCTACTAGGGCTAGCTCGAGGGCCTTACGTAGAGACTGGCCATGCGCGTTCGGTGATTGGATTAGTGCCTTTTCTGTTTCTTGAGAATTGTATCCTGACTTGTTCAATAAAGATTAAAAAAAACAAAAAAAAAAGATTGGATTCGCTCTGCTAGAGGTGTCACTCGCATTTTAACTCAAAATGGCCAAAGGAGAAGACCTTCATCTGGCTGCAGAACTACTTTCCACACAATTTGCATGACGAGCCTTCCACGAAAAGCTGGAAATTGTGCAAAGAGGTCGCCCAACTCCTGCGCTAGTTAGCCTGTCCCACCAAGGAAAAGGGGTTGTCCGTCATTTTCAGACGAGCAATTATGAACGGTACCGTGTCTCACAGCCTTTGAGAAACGCTGGAAATTGTACTGCTTGGAATGCCTCTTGCTTGCAACTGACCAGTGCGTTTAAAAACATTTGGGGACACTCGCGTAGATCTGCAGCTCGGTAATCAGGCACGCCAGGAGACGGAGCTCCACAACGAAAAAGTAAAAAAAAAAAAATCGGGAAATTAAAATTATACCAGAAACACGACCGGACAAAAACGGCTTTCAGCATTAGCTTCCATGTTGATAGAAAAGGACTTGCTAATGGACCTGAAAACTGTGCAACAGAGCCACTGAAGTGTTCCTGAGATAAAAAAGGAGGATCGAGTTTATTTTCAAATAAGCAGACGCTGTGAGAACTACATTGGTGAGTCAATGAATTTTATTTTACATTTCTTCTTGTCATTTTATTTCGTTAGTATTAAATTCATGGTAATGAAATAAGCTCAAAAATGTTGTTGAATAATGATGGAAATAACGTCCAAAAGGAAGGTAGGGAGAAATTCAAACTGCAGGAAACCTCAAAATCTCATCCTAATTAGCGACTAGCAGCAGCCATTCAGTAGAGTGCAAAAATCCACATGGCTAGCAAGATGACAATTAGCAAGAAAAATCGTTCCATTAAAAATAGTCAAAAAGCCACACAAAACATACCAACCCCGCTGCCACCAATTGTAAGTTGAGGGGTTCGTAGGTTTTGGATGGATGGCTCTACGTTCGGAATGGGCAAAAAGGAGAGATGGACTTCGTTTAAACGCAGCTTTTTATTTTCCATCGTCTGCTCCGTAACTCTTGAACGAACACCCCTCCTTCCGGGAACGAAAAAACTTCCTGCTTTTCTTCGCCAATCAGACGCAAGCAACATAATAATATTTCACTAATTATGAAACAGAATATAATTTGGGTAACTGTAACACAAAAGAATATAATGCTCAAATACAAAATGAAAATAATGAACAATTTAGCAAAAGCTTAGTTATTTCTCAAAAAGTGCTGTTGTTTGAGGACGAACGGTGACGTAAAGGTCAAAATTCAGTTGTCATCTGACTGGTTGTCCTGTTTGTCAATCAAGTAACGGGATTGATGATAGGCTAACATCGTAGGTTTTGCTGTACTAAGCGCCGTTGTTTGAATGGCAGCGCCACCGCAGAGGCATTTTCGATGCTTGTCATGTAAAAGCCCGGAGCCGCATTGAACCAGCCAAAGAGCCGCATTCGGCTCACGAGCCGCGAGTTGACCACCCCTGGGATATTATAACAGTCGTATGCTTATGCTATCATGGCACTGGACATCAAAGGAACATTTCAACAAGGACGTCAAAGACGTCAGAACGAAGAATGTGACTTTGCCTTTCATAGCAGCACGACGGCAATGCGCGAGCATTTGACACAGAAGCACCTTTTGTCCAATTCTATTTCTGACAATGAGGGACGGTCGTCTCGAACTCGGGAAACTGATGGGCTGGTGAGCTGAGATCCAAACATTATTGTCAATGTGAATGAGCGATTAATAGGTCTGGAGTTGTCATATAAACTTGAATTTCTATGTCTCCACTTTATTGGCATGAATGCATGAAAAAACTTGAATCATTTTATTCTTGATGTTGTTTTGGGGTTGTTGTGTTTTTGGATTACCACAGATGGTGGATTTTTTTTGACATTTTGTGGTTTGAAAATGGTGAGATGATGTTGACGTTGCCTACCTTTTGTGCCTCGTGTCTTATTGGCTTGATGATTGAAGAATGCGTTCCGAAACTTGCGTCGAATGCTTGGGAATGCTTGCTTGGGCGCCAGAACGGGTCCTATATTGCAGAGTTTTTCAAACGCTGCATCGCGGCACACCAGTGTGCCTGAGATATTGTCATGGTGTGCCATGGGAAATGATCCAATATGTATGCCTGTGCAGTTTATCGCCCGATAGAGTAATCGTGTAGTACTCTTCCATACCGGTAGATAGCAACAGAGACTAGCTAATTGCCTCATGCTTCGAGACAAGCGAAGTTTCCGGCGCGAGGCAATACAACGAACGGTATCTTTCATTTAGATTTACTTTTACCGGAGATGCAACGGCACCAATGTTCCCTCTAAGTTGCCCAACTACGCACTGGTCGCACACTTTCAGCGCACAAGAACACCTATCCAGCACAGTGAACGCAATGCAAATTAATCAGATATGCAGTATAACTTTTTTTTTCTGGATCAAACAACCATCGACGCTCACGCTCACACCGAGGGACAAATTTTGAGTGTTCAATCAGCCTGCCATGCATGTTTTTGGAAAGTGGGAGGAAACTGGAGTAAACCCACGCAGGCCTGGGGAGTACAGTACATGCAAACTCCACACAGGGTGACCGGGGCCGGGACCGAACACACGACCTTTGCACTGTGAGGTTGATGCGCTAACCACTGGACCACCGGGTTGGCCTACTTTGGAAAATATTTTTGCAAAATATGTTGTAAAATAAAGCAAAATTGATAAATCCGCAGAGATTGTTAATTTCTGACACAGAGTGTGGGGATGGGGGGGACACCACAAAGCATTTATGATGAGGGCACCAAAATGGCTGGCGCCGGCCCTTGCTGAGAGCAATACTGAAGGGCAATGTTCACATGAGATGGTTGTCTGGCTGGAGAAGACAAAATGGAAGTGGGTGAAAGTGTGAAACTACTGGCAATGACCAGAGCGACGTGATCCAGGCGCCATGATGAGGCCTCTGAAAGAGGAGCTTCCGAACCTTGAGCTTAGAGGTATTTTCATTCCTGTGGACTGTGGCACAGAGTGGATCAGAAGAAGTCCAGGGGTTTTCCAGGAAG